AAAAAATTTCTGAAATCCACAACCCTACAACCTGGTCATTCCCTTACTTGAAATCCTTCTCTGACTACTTATGGCTTTCAGGAAGATGTTTAAACTTTCTAAATTCATCACATAAGGCTTGTCATAATCTAGTCCCCACCAACATGACTAGTATCTTTTCTGCTTAGTGAAATTAATTGTACTGTACCACCTGCATTTTATTTAACAATGGGTGATGTTTTGTGACTCCATGCTTTCACACTTCTTTTCTACCTGTAATAATTCCAAAAACACCCACAGTGTTCATAAATGTCTTCTCCTTCATTGCTGCAATCCACCCCAGCTTTAAAAAGTGTCTTTTACCCAGTTTGGTTAACTTTATCCAGGAAATAGAAATATACATCTCCTTTGTACACTTGTTTGGGGGAAAAAAAAAAAAGAGAAAAGGTACATCCAACAGCATAGCTGGCACAAAACGGAAGCTAAATAATTAGCAACCTGTACAACATACGACACTGAATTGATTATCTGTCTTTTCCACTAGTCCAAAGTTTCTCAGCCTTGACACTAATGACACACTGAGCTGGATAATTCTTTGTGGCAGGAGGCTGTCCTGTGCACTGCAGAATGTTTAGCAACATCTGCGGCCTCCACCCACCAGACACCAGTAGCACTCCTGCAGTTGTAATAACCAAAAATGTTTCCAAACATTACCGAATGTCCTCTCAGGGGCAAACCCACCCCAGTTGAGAACCACTGCACTAGACCATAAGCAACTCAGGAACAGAAACTAATTATTACTCATTATTGTATCTCCAGGTACCTAGTACTAAAGCCAGCACTTGGTAGGTGTTCAATAAATCATGGCAGTAAGAACCAAAATTCTGCCTTCTAGCACCACAGATTAGTTTTGCCTATTTTTGAAACATATGTAAATGTATATATTATTGTTATGGCTTTTTTCATTTAACACTATGTTGTGAGATTCATCCCTGTCATTGCACATTGCTGAAGTTAATTTGTTTCTACTTCTGTATACTGGTATTTCTTTTTATTAATATACCATATCTTCTTAGATATTCTATTATTTGGACATTGGGCTGTTTCCAATTTGTAGCTAGTATGAATAGTGTTGCCATGAATAATATTTTGCGTGTGTTTTGGTTATAAGTCAGGATAGTAGTTAGCCAGAGGAGGAGAGAACAGTGAGTGGGTAGTGCTAACATTCTTTCTTGACTCCAGTGGGGGTTACATGTGTATATTCATTTTGTGATAGTTCATTAAACTCCCCATTTATTATTTGTGAACTTAGAATTCTGCATACTTCATTTAAAGCTTTTTAATTACTAAGAACATGAAAGGTATGCAAATAAAAAAAGGGGGTGGGGATTCTGGTAAACATCCAACAATGCAAATATTCATGTGAATAATAGATGATGAAATTCATTCGTATCAAAGCATATTAAAACAAATGTATTTTTATATTTTTAATCATTAATAGCCAGTGAGATGCAAGAGAAAATATCTGCTGTTAGCGAAGATATGAACTGACACAACTTTTCTAGAAGGCCATCTGACAATATACACCAAAAGCCTTTAAAACGTGTATTATGTTTAAATGTTCATCTTACAAAAATAAATCAAGTAAATGTGTAAAAATATGTGAGAGAGCAAGAATTTATATTAATATATAAGGATATTTTTCGTGGAACTGCTCATAATAGTAAAAAACTAAAAGCAAATGTTCGTTAGGCAATTAGTTAAATACATTATGGTAGGTCCATTCAATAGAATACACACAGCCATATTTAATGACATGAAACAATGTTTATAATTCATTAAGTTACAAAATTACACATTTGTAAGGGAGAAAGACATAAATATGCCTAGAAATAAAATGTCAAGGACCAAAGCTAAAACCTTAACTTTTGTTATCTTTGAGAAGTTTTTTTTTAATTTTTGCTTTTTATTAAGGCCTATATACCCTCTAAGCTTTCTGTAAAGAATGTATAACAATATAAAAATATAGTTTTATGTAAATAAGTTTATCAATAAAAGAAAAAGAAAATAGAGAAATATCACCTAACACGGTATTGGAGACAATGGCAGCTTCTAGTGTCTGTTAGTATACGTACTTGTGACATTCCTCAAAGGGTTATTCAATTGGTTTTTATAAGCATGGTTGAATTTTATATGCTTTATACTGTGTGTACGAAGAAGCCAACCTCAGATAACATTTCAGAGAGCAAGACTCCCTTCAGAAGAAGGATATTGCTTTATATTTGGAATCTTATTCTAGTGATTAGGAAATGGATGAGCTAGTTTCACTTACAGGATTTTTAATCTACTATTGCTTAAAGTATGATTTTCTTCTCTACCGTCCAGCAAGAATCTCTTAACAAAAAATGGATATGATTTCAAATTTTAAATCTATGATAACTTTCCCAGTTTAAGTCTTTCTCTTCCTCTAAACAGAATACAAATATCAATGCAATGTATGCAAAGTAGCCACCAAAAAAAATCCAATTGTTGGTATGGAAGAACCATGATCATTGAAAGTCATCTATTAAGAATTAAGAAAATTTTTCATTTTTGCTTTGCTTCAGAGGGGTCTTGCTAATAAGCACTTCAGGCTTGTACCAGGTAAGTAATGATTTCCTCTAAGTCAGTAAACTCCAACATTGATTGCATTCACTTATAGTAAGTATAACCACAGCAAACCCATTCTCAAATGTAGATTCTCTTTCCAAGGCTGATTTATAGTCACTGGTGTTTCCATTTCTGAGAAAAAGAATCAACTTAGCCAAAATGTGCTTGTTAACTCCTGCCTAGGAGTATGTCTCCAAGGAAGACTCCATCCGTACACTATGAAGTATTGCTGAGGTGACCATCACACCAGTTTGCAAAGGACAGTCCTGGTTTACATCTAATGTCTCTACATGGTTATTAAAGGCAGCCTCTATCACCTGCATTGTGCCAGGTTGAGTAATACATCATATGACCAGTCTGTTGTTCATACATAGTACATATAATGCTGGCTCCAGAACTTGGAATAAATCCCTTGATCCTCCTACGCTCTTGCCTTATCTTCCTTGTGCACTGATCGTCCGCAATAAAAAAGTCTGCAGAATAGTCGTGTACACAAATCACCCCCCACAGGCAGTCTTAAAGCAATCTGAATAGGAATCCATTCCAAGGTGGTCCCTATCCCTCCTCTAGAAGTTCACAAATTATGAAAAACAAATTAGAGGTAGTCCAAATCATATACCTTAAGGACGAAATACATATTTGCAAAAATTCGCCATCTATTCTTGTTGAGAGTTGTATCCCTCTAGTTGTTAATCCAAACAGTTCCATGAAATGAAGGTAGACCCAAATTTCCTCTGAGCCTAAATATTTCTATCTCTGCTAATGGCAAAACTATTCACCCAGTCACCTTAGCTAGAAACCTTAGTATCAATTTTGATTCTCCTTTATCTCCCCATGCAATTAATTACCAAACTTCGTTAGTTCTATTTTGAAAGCCTCTGGAACTCATTGCCCACAAAACTTTCACCAGAACAAGATTTCCAATCTGCAATTGCTACATCAGCCTTCCTCTAGTTTTTCTTCCTCTCCAATTCGTCTCCCTCATTTCTGATAGAATTATCCTAAATAAAGTAATCTCTTTAGTCGATTGCCTTCTCGGTACCCCGAGATAACACGCAGACTTCTCAGCCTGGCATTTCACACCTTTATCAGTTGCACTCAAGCCTCCCTTTCCATCCTCAATTCCAACCACACCTCCCATGAGGCATATGATGTCCAATGGCTCTCATCCAGCAGTGGTATTGCTCTCCTAGGTCTTTAGAAATGTTTGGGGACATATTTGCTTGTCACAGTGTTTGGAGGACACAAAGAACACTTAATGGACGGGGACCAAAAACACTAAGTGTCCAGCAATGTAGGACAAGTCCCGTGAAACAGAGACTTGCCTTGCCAAAATGCCAAATAGCACCCCAGGTGAAACTTCTTATTCCCCAAACACATTTTTTACGTACGTGGTTCCTTCTTTCCAGAATTTATTTAACCACCCTCCACTAGTTCTGCATCCTTCCAAAATAACATCGTCCTTGGATGACACAACTCAAAATTCCCTTCTTATCTCAAGACCATCTCAGCAAAATAGTCACATTCACAGTGTGTTAATGGGAGATCATTAAGTCACTCTCATTATATGAGAGTGGTTTAATGCCTACTGATATAGCACTTATTGCATTAACTTATGATTAAACTGCTTACCTATCTGTCATTTTATGCCATGGTTCCCTTTTTCTTATCCCCTTCTACCTTCCTAAAATTTGAGCTCCTTAAAGAAAGGAATCTTCCTTTGGTGTCTCATTTTTTTTAAACCTCAATTTCTACAGTTGACCTAGAAGATGAGACTCATTCTATAAGTGATTTTTGGATTAAAATATGAACAGCTGTACCCTCATTCCTACGTACAAAATGCCATTCCTTAGCCTTTTTTTTACAGTTGTTTAACTTAAAACTCATAAAGTTACATCTTTATCCGTAATGATGTTTAAAGAAACCTAAAATGCATATATTTAACTGTAGATTAGACTAAACTAGTATTATAAACTCAGGTAAAAGTAGAAACTGTGGTAAACCAGAGAGATTGTTCCCAGTATAAAGTATTTAAATTCCTTTGCAATTTATTTTTTGTTTTTGTAAGCATTGAATAAGTACTCCTTATAAATGATCTGCCTAACAAGTGTATTTGAGATCCTTGTAATGAAAAAATACCCACGTAATCTTAAAAAATAAATGTGTACAACACTGTATGATATATTTCTATTCAAAATATCAAGTAAAAATGCTCCTGTTCAACCCCACTCATTTTTGCAAGTTTGAGCTTAGACTATTTCTACAGCCTATTACAAATATACCTTTTTTTTTTCCCAGACAAAATTTCCAACTTAGTTCATCCCCCAAGTTGCATATTCAGCAGAACAGGATAGACAAAGTCAAATGCTCACTTGCACATCTGTTCATATCTGGGGCTCGGTGTCCGTAGTACCCTGAGGGGCAGGAATGCAGGCATTCTCCGTACTGGCGCATCCCTTCTCTTCGAAGAAAGAAGAACAACTTCTGTTGACATCGGCTACAACCATTGTCCTTTGAACAAGACAAACAACCCTTGCAAATGGGATTTGATACGTAACTAGCTGTAAAAGAAAAACAAAAAAGTATTTAAATATGAATATGATCAAACTTCTCTGGTCAACATACCATGCTGAAAGGACAAATGTTTCTTGTCTTTCTCCTCTACTCACATAGACATACTAGGCAAAGCATCCCTCCCCTCCTACCTCCCCAACTCCCACTAAAAAAGGGTTAATACACAAATTTAGAACCAAGGAGGAAACTCAGAGACAGAATTGAGGCTAGAAGGTGAAACTGAATGGCTCATGGAGATGCCAGATCAGACAGAGGTAGAATTCATGGCAAGGTCCTGAATCCAGGCCAAGAAACAAGCGTGTGAAGAACTGACACTTAGCTCCCTTTATGTTGACAGGAGTTGAGAGGGCTGTTGGCACCTAAGTACTACGACCCCCTGTCCCAACTGGTCAGAGCAGAGGATTCCAACCCTGGACTGGGAGCACCAAGGGGGTAAGCACAGGACAGAGAAAACATACCACAAAGATGTAAGAACCCCAAGCCAGCAGGACATCCAAGTGTGGGATCCAAATTCAAATTATCATTATATTATAGTATGGGGTCCCTACGTCAAGAAGTTAACACAAACTTGTCCAGATCCAGGAAAACCAAGGGGGAAAAAATT